TATTGGTTTTATGTTTTAACGGAGATATGATGTTTTCTTATGAAATATCGTGTATTAGTGTAATTTGCATGCTTTACCATTCATTGTACCGTTCTAAACCATGTGAATGTTGTAATATCAATCAATCGGGTGGGAAAACAGCCCAATCCTCGCTCCATAATGGGGGGAATGTCAATCATTTTGCAAGTTTAAATGACCCCTGATACTTTTTGAATACTTTATGACAGTTTATGGAGTCAAAATCAATGCTGATTATTCATAAACTTAATGCTTCTTACTATAGGCCTGTGGCCTCTTCAGTGCTGAATAAAGATTGAAAATACATCAGTCAATCAAAGATGAAGGTAACTTTATACATCAGAGTTCTTGAGAATAAGTTCATGTTTTGTTCTTAGACTTACATTTCAACCATCGATTGTGTTCACATGTAGACTCAAACTGGTATATTAAAAAAATGTATACAGACAACAAAAACTGTATTAGAAACAACAAACTCTGTAAACTTTTAAGCATAGTTTTTGTATAGCATTTCAAAAGCCTGCTTTGTTTGCATTTAAATCAAAACAAAGGAATCTGTAATTAAAATGTGTAAGGTGAAAAAGCTTTTACATAAAATAGCAAAATACATGGGGGAGAGTAAATATATAATTCTATATAACTTTTCTTGAATGGAGCACATTTGAAAAAAAAGATAATCCAAGCATATTCGATATTACCGTGTTTAAAGAATTTATATCAGTCATATATTTCTAACTTAGATCACCCGTGTGTAACCCAGGTAAAGCATGCATAACGGGCACTTTTCCTTTCGTTTTTCATAATCATATTTTTTCAAGTTGTATATAACGTATGAATCCCTTCTCAGACTCACCGCCAGCCCGATTGTAACAATTACATGATCACTTTGCTTTGTCGATGCCGGTTGATGTTGTTCAATACAGGCTGATAGTGGGTGTTTTTGAATCTATTCTACATGCTAATCATTTCGGGAAGATGATACACATTTCTCTATATTTTGGGTTACTTTGCTTATATAATTTCCGATTATCATTCTTAGTTTTACTTTTTCTCTTCTGCTGCGGTGATATCCATCCGAATCCAGGACCTTTGCATAGTCCAGATTTAAAGATTATATATCTAAACGTACGCAGTCTTAAAGACAAAGTAGATTTTATCAGTGCTGAATTAGATAGTTATGATGTTGTATGTTTAACAGAAACCTGCTTGCACCATGATATTCTAGCCACTGATATTACACTGATACCATTTTCATATCGTAGCCTGTATTAAGGAATATATTTTAGATCTAAAATCAGAGTATAACGGACAGCCTGAGCTGGAGGCGAGGATGTTTGCGAGGATTAATAAGATTTCTGAATTCAGTTACAACAGTAACCGTACACGTATTTGTTACATTAAGTCATTTCATTCAAATTTGTTTGTTATGATATATGTCTTATAATTATTTTAGGATGGAAGGTACAGTTACCAAATAAAATATGCTGAAATATCAACTCATAATGACCATATTTCATAATCTATTTTTTAAAGTAACCCTCCTTACATTAAAGATAACTATTTAAAGAATAGAGTACTTAAAGACATTGCAACAAACCGAATAATCAGGGGGGAGACTTTATACTGAGGGGGGCGCGAAACATATCCGCCCGGGGGAGATTTTATTTCAGAACAGATTCTCCGGGGGAGAATCTGTACCGGTATAAAATCTCCGGGGGGAGAATTTGTACGGGGGAGAGTTTATACCGGGACACCGGCTTTGGGTGTATAAAGGTGTTGAAATAACAGCGTGAAAAATCTTTCCAATATTCAAAAAAGAAAGTCTCTGCTAAAAGCAGAGTCGACTGTACAATTCCGATTATATCACGAGTAGGTGTTTATGAATCACTATCAAATAATGATGAAACCGGGGTTTTCGAAAAGGTAAGCGTATGCTGCTCGACTAGTCACACCCGTCACAAACACGTGCAAAGGCAAGTCAATTGCTAGCCTGAAAAGCCACGGGAACATATGGTTGAAGTCAAAATGAGGAATTGAATCGGGTATTATTTTATCTGTGATGCTTCAACTTTGGAAATGTTCCCCACATATATACCATAAAAAGTTTTGAAAAGATTTCTGAGGCCTTGAATGTTTTAACACAGTACATATTAGCTGATCGCAAGGATGGGAGTGTTGAAATATAAGGACTTTCAAAATGTTCTAACCTTAAGCTCGCTCACATACCAAATGAACTCATGTTTCATAAGAGGGTGACATCAACACAGCAGACTTGTACCAAGGAGGGCATAAATTAATTAATAAAGCAGAGACGTGAGAAAATATACCTGCACATATATATTCCTTTTCATATCGTTCTGGCCAACGTTTAATAAGTGTAACAAGGTTGCCTTGACATCCCACTTTTACGAAACCACATTTGTCAGAAACGTCACAAGAAGAGCTAAATCTGAAGGATAATTCTCATTGAAAGTACACTTTGGTATTAATGTCATATCTTGATCATCGTGAGGCATGCACTTCTCTAATGACAAGAATAATGGAGCATCAAGACAATGAACAAGGGCGCTTACTTGACTTTATCATCCAAAACTGGCTCCACAGGAGATATCGCTTGGATTAGATCAAGCGATATCTACACTGTAGATATCGCTGCAATGAAATTACATCATAATGCTTTGCAGACCATTTTGACGGCACTGGTTACCATGACATCACAATCCAATTACATCACTAATGGCTCTGCTACTGAAGCTGTTAGCAGTACTTTTTTACACTGAAGACACTGCTAATTACTGTCTACAAATTGAAAAAGTTGGAAGAATGATGTTGGATGATAAGCCTCGGAATTTTTCCACTTTTATCAACTCGTGTTGATATATTTGATAACAAAAGACACTCGGGTGAGATTCTCTATTTACGGGTGCTTCCATAAAATGGGTTATGTACAGATGTAGCAAACTTCTTATACCAGCACTTTCACTGAGACTAGGCAGTACACGTCCCTTTTGTACTTACTGAAATTGGGTACTGTAAGAAAGATAATCAACTCAAGTTGCAAGCTGAACTTGGTTACACTGTGTGAAGAAATGAGAACGTCGTGGTAGCATTTGATACAGTGTAAACTTGTACTGGGCACCATCAGGGTTATTTCTTTTATTCTATTCGAGTGCAACAATAGAAGGCATGAACGGTCGTGGAAGCATATAACAGAGTCCTGAACACGACAGTGGTTTGTTGTGAGAGTAATATTCCGGTGTTTACATTTTGGCTAGACTAACGAGTCTCTGCATTGTCCAATCAAAATTGCGAAACGAACTAGACACTAAACAACACTAAACAACATGGATTTCAACGTGCGGATTTCGGTCGACTGAAAGATTTGCAAATAATGTGTACCGTCAACAGGGCGTCGACAGATACTTTCCAAATCTCGTTTTCAATCAAGGTGATCACGTAATTTGATGCACTTCGCAAAGTAAGACCCCTCTTATGACAATATAGACCTTGATTATCGATCACATCTTGATGTTTTTGTTTTGTTGTTTAACACCGCAATTAGCAAAATTTCAGCCATATTACGGCGGTCTGTAAATAATCGAGTCTGGACCAGACAATCCAGTGATTGATATCATGAGCATCGATCCACGCAATTGGGATACGATGACATGCATCAACCATGTCAGCGAGACTGAACACCCGACCTCTAATCCGATATTGCTGCCAAACTATGCCTTTAAGCACAGTGGGACCTCGAGGCGAAATTGTTGGGCAAATTCGGACGCTAGCTGGCTTCTGAGATTGTTGCTGGCAAAAGTCACTTTCCGTGAATTAACTTTGAATTATCTGCTTTTCAGATTTTTACTTCACTATCCCACACTTTGACACTGGCTTACGATAGTCGATAGACGTAGTGCTAAGATCACTTTGGGAAACGGTGTCCTTGTCATTGGTTCCTGAGCTATCACCGGGACAAAGGAATATTATAGAATAAATAATAACGATTAGAATATTAGAATAGGTCTTTTAGGCTTGGAGCCCTTATGATGGACCTCACATATTGCATTCTCAGTTGTCAAGCATATCTTCATTCTTTTATGATAAATACCCTGGGTCATATCTTTAATGGATGAGTGACCTCCCAATCTCAAACTCTCCTATTTCTTCCATCTCTGTTGCTGGTGACAATAATTTAATCGGAAATTTTTTTGTTGTGTAATGCCATTTAAATTGGGTTCAAATAGAGGTATGGTAGCGAATGGGTCCAGGTAATACTAGAAGGGAGATATATCACTCAAAAACGTTAAGGATAACCTGATTCTTTCATGATACTATATCACTTTGGTTAATCTGCCATGTCATGATAGAAGTGATATGAATCAGGTGGTCCTTATCTTTTTTTAGTTGTATATTAGTTAGTGAGTGAGTTGGGATTAACATCACTTTAAAAAGTATTCCAGTTATATCATGGCGTGTCAGCTTAATGTGGGAAGAAAGCCCGAAGTGATGCAGGTCTCAGACTTTTACCACTTCGGTGAAACCTACAAGCACAGATATTGTGCTGACAAACCTAGAAACTCAATCAGGGCAAACCAGGATTTGAACCCACAATCATAGGTTTTGGTGCCCAAGGCACGCAAATCTGCACAGCGAATCGCGGCGCCTGACGACTGGGCCACCTGTGCCCCCATTTGTATATTATACTTGAGAAAGGAGGATGTATTACTGCACCCAACCATACAACTGACCTGGAACATGGTGATTTGGCTGCAACATCACTTCAACTCAAGGGGCGGTCGGGTAGCCTAGTGGTTAAAGCGTGCGCTCGTCACGCCGAAGACCCGGGTTCGATTCCCGACATGGGTACAATGTGTGAAGCCTATTTCTGGTGTCCCCCGCCGTTATATTGCTGGCATATTGCTAAAAGCGGCGTAAAACCATACTCACTCACTCACTCACTTCAACTCAATAACAAGCAACAGTTCTATTCAATGACTTTTATTTTACATAAATGATCCCACTTTCACAAAGATGCAACACTACATGTTTGTGAAGACAAAATATTATTACAGCCCCTTAAAGAGAACCTATTGTGTAATGATAAGGAGCTTCTATATGACCAAACTAACAAATATCTTATGAAACAACAACCTTTAGGATATCCTAAATAAGTATCTCCTTGTTTTGTACAAAATCTGATTCTTTTGTAATTCTTTAAGCCCAAAACAATACTTTGAACTTACCTTTTTGGGGTCAAGGTAGCTGATATATCTGAGCATTTAACATGTTTAATAACAAATGATACAAACAGACAATTAACCCCAAGTATTTTTCTATACTCAAATGATAAATTTGTGTTCACATAACTAAAACAGTTAGGTGTGATAATAGAATCTGTTCACCACCCAATAGAATCTTATCCCAATACCAGATACTTCAAGAAAATTTATTGCTATTGCTTCACAGATCTTGCGTTCCTCTTCATTCTTTTGGGTTAGTTGTGTTAGGGTTAGGGTTGGTTACCCCAAACTCTATCCTTAGCCTTGGATCCTTGAGTCAGGATAACAATGCTGATTTTCAGACAAAAGTGTAGTTCTAACATCAGTGAGTCAGCATTGATGACACCTCTTCCAAGACCACAGTAATAGGAGGAGGATGTTAGGAATAGCTGTTGTGTGTCAGTAGCTCCTAGTTGGCATTATATACAGATGTGGACATATGGCTGTCAGCACAAGGTCAGGGTGCCTTGTACAAAGCGATCTTAACGCTAAGGTAATTGTAACGCCCGTACCTTAACGACAGTCATAGCGCTAAGGTTGTTTTGTACAACGACACGTAGGCCAACAAAAACCTTTACCAAATCTTAACCTCAGACTTTACATTAAACACACTACAATCATCCTTCTGAACCTGGAGAACTTTATAAATTCGATAGGATATATCATACTGCTGAATGTAAAATTCAAAAACCTTTACGCTTAACATGTAGTGAACAAAAATAGTAATGAATATATTGGAGGATATTTTTTCATGGTGAACACTTCACACAATTTCATATAATTATCTCCAAAAATATTCATGATCCCTAACGTTTTTGGTTAAGAAAAAATACACATTTTATAATAGCAATATTGGCAGACATATATACTGAATTAACCCTCAAATGAGTGTGTTCTTCCAGACAGACGGCAACCTAAATTCCGCAAAAGGAAGTCAGAAAAGTAATGGCACACATGGCACCAATGGAGCATCATGAATTCTAACATCACTTGGCAAGATGTAATGTGGTCATGCGAAGGATGACATGGGTGACTGATGACACAAGACACGGGGTCCTGGAACGATTGATGTGATGTGATCCCCTCGTCGTCCTCCCCATCACTTTAACAATGACCACTTGATCTGTTCCTTGGCAGATTGGAGGACCTGCAATAAACATGGAGCAATATTGAACCACAGTAGCAGAGCATGGACATATAGCATAAGAGAAAGGGGAGGGAATTAGGATTGGTTTGGCATGCCACATTATTCCATGTGTCCAGACCACTCAAAAAGATGGCGACATAACTGACATAATTGTATGGATTGTTTAGTCACTTGGCATTTTAGAAGTTGATACAAGTGACACACAGCATCCATATTTACAACATTTGCAACATTAAACCATACAATGTCAGAAACTGGGTCTAGCAGAGATTTCTAATGAATATGGAAAGGATTTTGTTTCCTTTTGAAATGACCCTCTAGTAGAGGTGCATAAAATGTGTGATAGATAGTTTTAGTTAACCATAAGAAACTCTTTTAGACAAATCAATCTGATCTTGTACTGTGTCTTATCTGTAGGTATACACCAAACAAAAATGAACATTTGCCAGCAATAATGCTTTTTCAAAATGTCACATTTCAACATTATCGAGACCAATCAGAAAATTAAACAAAACCAATCAATATCCCTCATTAAACTAAAAAAGTGTGTCCTCATAATACCTATACAGAAAGTCTGGGTAGGGAGGGCTTCGTAGTTGCACTTTGAAAACAGCTCAACGTGTGAGTGTCAGACTAAAAGTGCAAACTAGGGTCTTTATACAATGTGTCTGGATGGTAGACATAATAATTCATACTGGCATATGTAGAACAGTTCTCCTCAGGTCAAAGTGAAGCTAAAAAGTAGAGCTCTAAAAAGTCAGTGGGTGTGCGGAATATACCTACAAAACTTTATTTGTCATACATATGTACGACTTAGATTTGATCCTCTATACCTCCAGGGCATTTCGGTAAACCCACATAAACCCCTGGATCCATTCTCATGGTTCTCAACTTGTCCTCCTATTTTTCATTAATATTTAACACAAAAAAACAAAGGTCATGATAAAGAAAACAGAAAAGGCGAGGGAAGGTGGACATGAAGACATCCTTCCCATCATGGAGATTTCTTTTGCATGTGATGTCAGTCATGTTTTCAATGTTGAATTTCTCAACAAACTTCATCGTAATCAAAGGGACTGGCTGAGCCATATTTGAGTGTGTGAGTTGAGTATTCCAGTTATATCGCAGCATGTCAGCTTAATGTGGGAGGAAAGCCCGGAGTGAAGCAGGTCTCAGACATTTACCACTTCGGTGAAACACACAAGCACGGGTATGGTGCTGACAAACCTAGAAACATAATCGCGGCAAACTGGGATTCGAACCCACAATCATAGGTTTCTGGCGTGCCCAAGGGACGCAACTCTGCACAGCGAATCGCGGCGCCTTAGACGACTGGGCCACCCGTGCCCCACTGAAAAATCTAGACAGTCATGAATGGTTTCATAGCATACTGATTATATCACCAAGTCTAACCTCAGTAATGTTATGTCCATTATTGCCAGTACATGTTTACCATCTATTTTCCTCTCAATGTCTTTTGTGTCACTTTAACAAGAAAATTAAGGTGAAATAAGATGATGAATGGATTTAATTTATTATCAAAACAGAAGAATAAAATGTGCCCAAAGAATGATTGATTCCTACATTGCACAAGTGATTAAACCATTCGTTTGAATGAAACAGAAACTTAATCAAATGTTGCCATCAATCATGCAGAGTCAATTGGAGTTTTCTACATCTAAGCACTTTCAACTCATTGCACTTCACTTTAGTCCATAAGTGACCTTCAGCTTTTAAGTCCAACCTATGCCAGTAACATAAACATGCATCGCGAGTGAGAGAGTTTGGTTTAATGTCACGTTTCAGTTATAACAGGGCATGTCGGCTTAATGTGGAACGAAGGCCAGATAAGATGCAGGTCCAAGATGTTTACTACTTCTGTTAAACCAAGGAGCACCAGTATGGTGAGTGAGTGAGTGAGTGAGTGAGTGAGTGAGTGAGTGAGTGAGTGAGTGAGTTTGAGTGAGTGAGTGAGTGAGTGAGTGAGTGAGTGAGTGAGTGAGTGAGTGAGGTTTTACGCCGCTTTTAGCAATATTACAGCAATATCAAGGCTGGGGACACAGAAATGGGCTTTACACATTGTACCCATGCCGTGAATTGAACCCGGGCCTTTGGCGTGGCGAGCGAACGCTTTAACCACTAGGCTACCAAATCGCCGCAGGTATGGTGATGACAAACCTAGAAAACACCAGGGATTCAAACCCACTAGAGCCACTTTTAGCAATATTCCAGCAATATCATGGCGGGGGATACCAGAAATCAACAATAGAACTAACATTTTTAGTCCACTCGTCCTTATAATGATAACATATAGCAAATCCCTTAAAAATGCCAAATTTCTACTTGTCTTTATGATACCATAACCATTGGGCAATTTGGCAAGGACTGTAGGACTACTGCCAATTTCTACAGCTGCAGAAATGGGCTTCAAACTTTGTAACCATGTGGAGAATCGAACCAAGGCCTTTGCCGTGACGATCGGAAACTTCAGCCACTAGGTTACCCCACCTCCCCAAAAGACATTAGACATGTATAGAGAATATCAAGAATATAGACCAGGTACACAAAGTAATATTCAATTTATACATCCTATATTAGATGGAAGAGTGGTAGCTGCCATGGTGGCCATTTTGAATTTTACAAAATGTGACACCCTTCATTGCAAAGATGTATTGCTCATGATATCAATCACTGGTTTGGCTGGTCCAGGTTCAATTATTTACAGGCTGCCATGGAATATTGATGAGTGCAGCAATAAACAGGAAAGAATCAAATTATTGTAAATAGCCATATTATAAACAAGTGTATTTGAAATTAAAAACCAGTTGTTTAGAATAGACAGTTTGGAGCTTCTATGTTGTAGCCATGAAGAATGTGTTCAAATCATATTAACATGTTCAGTATTTTAGAAGTGTTTTTTATTCAGAACTACGAAATATCTGGCCGTGAAGACTTAGTTTGTTGTTAAACACTCAGTCAGCAGTACTCCAGCCATATGACAGCTGCCTGCAAATAATCATGTTTCGGCCAGACAATACCAGTGATTGATATTGTGAGCAACAATCCACTCCTTCAGGGTATGATGGCACGCGATCAACCAAGTCATCAAGTCTGATCACAACTCCAATTGGTTTGACAGGGTAAGTGAGTGAGTTGGGTTCAACGCCGCTTTTAACATCATTCCAGTTATATCACGGCGTGTCAGCTTAATGTTGGAGGAAGGCCCAAAGTGATACAGGTCTCAGACGTTTACCACTTCGGTGAGACCCACGAGCCTGGGTTTTGGTGCTGACAAACCTAGAAACATAATCAGGGCGAATCAGGATTTGAACCCACAATCATAGGTTTCTGGCGTGCTCAAGGGACGCAACACTGCACAGCGAATCGCGGCGCCTTAGACGACTGGGCCACCCGTGGCCCCTGGTTTCACTGGGCCTGGAACTGACCCTTCTGCAGGACAGCAAGTGAGAGAATGTTGTGAAACACTGCTGCCTGCAAATAATCTGGACCAGACAAACAAGAGACTGAAATCGTGAGAAAGGTGATACTCAACAGCCTAGTCCACCAGATCTATTTCCATCGTTCTTTACAATAATGATGGTTTAGTACTTGGTACAAATACAACCAGGGCCCTCCTTCAGGCTGCTGCAATGTACTCATAGTCATAGACCAATAGTCTCTCACAGTCTCAGAACCATTATTTTTTCCCTTTTCTCAGACCTTAATGCAGTGTTATAGCTCTAAATGAAGAAAGTCCTGAGGTTCTGAAATGGCCTAACTGGGGGTCGTTTTCAATGTAAATGCAGTTGCTTCTTTCTACAAATTAGAAGTCCCTAAAGCAGCATCTATAGCATAATTATTTAAAAAACAAAACAATAGACTGGACCCAAAGGAGTACAAATATATTGAAAACCCAAGTTCATCTAATCGACTCACTGGTTTAAGGAAAACATCAGCTATGAGCATGATGAGAGTGAGTGAGTTGGGGTTCACTCCACTCTCAACAGTATTTCAGTTATAAATATCACTGCTTCATGTGGGATAAAAGGCTCAATGGTGCTGGTATTAAACATTATACATTGGTGAAACCCACAAGCACAGGTAGGGTGCTGACAAAGTTTGAAACATGATCAGGAAGAACGTAGGATTCGAACACGCAATTAAAGGTTTCTGGCATGCCTGAGAGACTCCAGCGAATTTTGGGACCTCAGACAACTGTGCCACCTGTTCCTGGTGTTCTCCCACCAATGGAAGAGTGAGTGAGTTGGGTTCAACGCCCAGTATACTCAGGACAGTATTCTAGTTATATCACGGTACGTCAGCTTAATGAGGGAGGAAAACCCTAAGTGATGTGAGTATCAGACATTAACCACATAGGGAAAACCATTGGTATGGTGCTGACAAATCTAGAAACATAATGGAACCAGGATTCGAAACCCCTGATCATAGGTTTCTGGCGTGCCAAAGGGACGCAACTCTACACAGTGAATTGTGGCACCTTTGACAACTTGGCCATGCGAGTCCCCGTCAGACACAATATACTTGGAAATGTAAGAATGTTTAATCTTATCACAGATTTACAAATTAGGGCTTGTTTTCATCCTTGGGTGAAGATTATGTGCACAATAGGCGCTGCACAGGCAGGTTGAAATAGTATACAATAAGCAACGTTTTCAACATGTAAGTTGTAATACATACCGTCAACCAAAGCAGAAAATTCCACTGACATTAAGTGTACGACCTTGAAGCTATTAAATGCAAATAAATCTCAGAAAGTAACTCAAATATTGAAATTTATGACAATTAAGTGAAAGTGCAAAACCATTAAATGTCAATTACTGTAAGCTGTGTCAGATTCATTTTGATGAATATTTCCTTTTTTAAATATTCTTTGTCTGATACATGTCATCATTGAGATAAACATGATAAAAATAGCGACCTAGAAGGCATCTCAAAGACATATACTGGTAAAGTACTCAAAGCATACATTTTTTCCTGCG